ACTGTAGCTCTTAGCCTAAGAAAAATTTTATTTGCCTAGACTTGGATGGGAAGGCAGACTCTTCTGAAAAAGAAAAAATATTGAGGAAATACTAAAAAACAAACAAAAACAAAAAACAATACATCCTTAATAAAAGTCAGTCATTTACTGTACAACGATTAATTAGGTAACTACTTTATGCTAGAGAATGATGGAATGAAGGAAAGATCTGGAATTTTTTAGGAAAAAAATCAATGTAATATCTACATAGATCTTAATAGATGTTTGATTGAAATAAATCTAGAAAGAGTAAAACTCCTTGTAATAATTGCCATTATAAAATGAAATGCACACAATTTGAGAGGTATTCACTTCTCAAAGTATCAAAATTTGTGTGTTTATCAGGGTAAGTCCCAGAACTGGCAGCCTTGCCTGGGCAGAGTGAGAAGCAATGGGAAAAAAAGATGTGTTGGCACAAGAAGTCAATTAATCTGTTTATTAATTTTAGCTCTGTGCTAGGTCCTGGGGCTACAGAGAAAAAGACACAGCCCAACTCTTCAGAGAGTTCATCTAGGAGGGAGAAAGCACCTAATGCAGCTGTAGAATCAGACTGCCAGGTTGGGAGAGGAAGAGAAAGGCCAGGGAAGAGAAGGCAGCCCCTGAGCTGAGCAGAGATGTGGAGAGTGTGCAGATGGCCTTCCAGGCAGAAGTTTGAAGTGGATAGGGCTCCAGTCCAAGACAGACACCCAGGCTGGAGACCTCAGCTGGCACTAAACAGGGACAGCCGCATACCCCTGGCTAAAGTTTCTGCATTTTATCCCAAAGGCAATGGGGAGCCAATGACAGATTTTAAGGAAAAGAGTGACAATTAGATGTGTGTTTTAGGAACCTTGCAAGAAACCACCAATAGAGGGAGAAGAGGCAGTACTGTGACAGGTGAGAACAGATAAGAGATACAACCCAAGCAAGGCATAGAGAGGGCCTAAATTAAGAACATGATAAGAAAGGTAAGTTACAAAGTGCCATGAATGCATTCTTGGATAAATACAAAAAAACAAACTGAAAAAGACATGAGTAATCTTCATCTTCATGAATTTAGAGGGGTAAAACACATACCACGTGCAATGCTAATTAAAGCCAAAATGTGGAATGTGATGTGTGAAGTGAGTAGTGCAGATAATAGTGCTATCGTACAAAGCACTATCGTGATTCCGTGAGCTCCCTGTAACTGGGGTCTGAGTGTGTGTCTAGGATCAAGGGGTGGGGATGTCATTCCTGGATAGTGTGAAATTGATCCAAACAAGAGGAATGACTCATGCAAAAGCCTAAAACAAATTAGCTGGCCAGGCCTAAAACAAATGAAAGAATAGTGTTGAAGGGCAGTGACAGATGAGGTGAAATAATTTAGAAGCAGATTATGGAGGGTCCTTAGAGTCACAAATAAAGAGCTTAAAGGGATTAGAGGCTATCCTCCTCAAAGTGGAGGTCCAAGAAAAAAATTTTAGTGGGTCATAATGAGGGTCTTAATGAAACAGATATTTTGGAAAGTCATATGGTGAGAGTGTTTAAGATACAATGGAAGGAGCAGAAAGAGCTTGGAAGGAGATAAGGCCAATTAGGAGGCTCCTGCAAGAACTCGGGCAGGATAAGGGCCTAAACACTGTAGGACTGAAAAAGGGGGGGGGGGGGGGGTAGGGAAAAGGGATTTCACAAAAGACGGATCTTCAGAAAACATTTGCTGGGTCCTTCATCTTTGGTTCCAAAAAGAATTCATACGTGTTAATTTTTTTATTATAGGGGCCCTTCCCAAGACTCCCTTTCAGACAATGCCATTTTATAACCACAACTCTTGTACTTGCCATGCACAAGTAATTACTGGTCTGGGATGTATTTGTTTCTTTAAGCGACTGTGGCTAAAAAATTGAGGATAAAAAGAAGAGATCAACCTTTGAAGTTCTGCCCTAGGTGGAAAAATAAAGCAAAACCAGGTGTTAGGGAAACCACAGATTTGGAAATGAGAAAGGACCACAAGGTAATTTTCCATACATTTTTCTCATGAAAGTATAAGCATTCCTTATAGAAATACTTTCCCTGAGGAGAGGTTGTTCAGAGGCGCTAATTAGACTGGATATGTCAGTCTTCTGAAATGAATAAAGTATTCATACATGTGTTAGGTATTAGAAGGAAAATATATGTTATTGCCCTATCACCTTCTCTGATATAGTTGATCTTTGCTATAAAATAATGCTGCTGACCCACTATTGCTCAAAATTGCATCAGAGCCACTGGTTAAGTTAGAGATAAAGTGTGATCCACTAAAGTAACATGTAAATTTGCTCCATGAAAATAATAGACACCAAGGGCTTAAATCAAAACCATTGACCTCATAATTAATCATCTATGTTAATCAACCCAGTTATGTTTTATAACAAAAATGCCATCCTATTCTCCTTTCAAATTTAGTGTGCTACATTTTACTACTCAAAATTAGATTTCATATAAATTTTCATTATAAAACTTATGCTTCTTGTGTAAAGGAACAAAATTAACAAATAATTTTTTTAATTTTAATATTAAATAACTTTCTAACTTTTACCTTTCTCGCCTTAAGAAAACACTGTTAATGTTTGCCAAATATTAAAACATGGAAAAATTCTACGTCAGTTGTGCAGGTTCATATAAGATCTAATTGCCTCATATACTCTAATTTTGCCACCAGTTTACAATTAGCATGCATTTCTCATGCATGAGTTGACCCAATTACATAACAAAATTTGCCTTTGGGGATTTCTCTTGACTGCTTGTCTTCTGTCCACCATACAACTCAATTTCACACTGTCAGCAGCCTGAACATGGCCACAGTCAGTCTCTGTCAAAATGATTTATTTAAATTACAAACAGAGACCAGATCCCTAGATAGTCATCCCTCCCTTCATGCTCACCCTTACGCTCAACCCAACTTCGAATCAAATCTTTTAAGAGTCCACAGGCACTGCGATTTAATTATTAGGCCATGTTTACCTCCAATAATCTAATGTTTTTAAGTTAACTCACAAAGTCTCAGGGAACTAAATCAACAGTACTCACTCGAGCTTATTAATGAGCATATAATTTATTTTGCATTCTAAGAAGTCAATGAAAAATTATGTAGCCACATCAAAAAACTAAAAATAATCACATTTTAATATCAAACTACAGAGACACTCTTTGTTCCATAATGTTTTTAAAAAAGACCTTCAACCTTAGCTTTTTTTGTAAAGTCAGTAAGCATTTCTTATGAATGGGTATGCAAAATTGAAAATGGTAGTAAAACAGGTACTTGGGAAACAGGAGAGAGAACCAAAATTATAGATCCTGGCAGGGTAAGGGGGAGAATATAGAGCAGGCGAAAATAGTACCACCTGTGCCATCAGTGATCTAAGGAAAGGGCTTCTAAAGATGCCCACTAAAGCCAGCACGCACAGGCACACACACACATGCACATAGATACACACAATTACTTCCTCCTTGCGTTGAGGACGAGAAAAAATCTTGACAAATCACATAATGGTACACTTACTATTTCAGTCAGTCTGTAAAATACAAGTTTTGTCATCTGGGGCTCTTTTCCTTCCCCTTCATAAAATATTTCTCCGCCACCTGAAACAAATTTTTTAAAAAGCATCTAAATTCTATCTACTGCACAAAGATTGTAGAAGTGTCTCGGAGTTGAACTTTACCGTTTTATTTCACAATTTATCCACAGACTGCCTTAGCTAATTGAAAGTGCAGCTTATATTAGTGTCTGAACAGGCAGAATGAAATACGTCAGTAACCTTCTCAAGGTTGGATGAGTCCCTCAGATGTGGTCTGTGATTCTGCCTCACTCTCCTGCTGCTGGTTCCCTGAGTGCACTACTTCTAAACATGAACGTGGTCATCACCTGAATTATAATTACCCACACATGCTAGAGCTACATGGACAACAGAAAAAAAAAGGTTATTAAAAATATCCAGCACAGAAATTCCTCAATTCATGTTTGTTCATTGTCCTTTAAGAACCTTTTCCTAGAATATCAATCACTAAGGAAAAAAAAAAATTGTGGAGGATACTTCTGTCATTTGTGAATTTATGCCCTAGGATTGGGCTGAGAAGGCAGAGTAGGGTAGATACTAAGACATCTTCTGGAATTTCATATAAAATTTTTTTTTTATTTGGAATTTAATTCTGTTTCTTTCCAATCATTCAGCACATTCTGTAATCCGGCCTCTTTTCTTATTCTTTCTGCAGCTCTACTGAGTAATATAGCAGAAGAATTTTAAATTGCAGCATTTAATAAATCTCCCAGGTTCAGTATGTTGTCATTATAGATCCCCAAAGAAGGAAGTCAAGGCTAAACCCACTCTCACCCTTTCATTACACACAGTTTCAAATGGACAGCTGTATTTTATCCCACACCTCACCAACATATGCAGACTGAGTGGGCGTTTCCAAATGATTTCAAATCCTGGACAAATGATTATGAAAGTGTGTGAAAATTTTTTCATGTAACTGACACAGACACAAGCAATCAAAAATGCCCATTCATCCATAACGTATTACCCAAAACACCTAGGAGTGTCATTAAATCCCCTGTTTTATGTCTTTATACTTTCTTTAGTCCAAAGGGGATTAAAAGCAGCTTAGAAAGATCCAGACAGATTGGGGGGAGAGCGGGGAGAGAAAAGAAAAAACTCATGGACACGGATAACAGTGTGGTGATTGCCGGGGGGAAAGAGGAGAGGGGGAGGTGAAAGAGGGAATGAGGGGAATAAATGGTGACGGAAGGAGACTTGACTTGGGGTGGTGAACACAATACAGTGTATAGATGATGTGTGGTGAAACTGGGCACCTGATATCTGTATAATTTTGTTAACCAGTGTCACCTAATAAATTAAATCAAAGGGGGGGGGGATTTCAGACAACATTCTAAGTTAAATAAAGTAAAAACAAGTAAAAAAATGAAGCAAATGGAAAAATAAAGATTGTGACGATCCTGGCTTAGTTAACCCACTTACGTCATCCTGTATTAAACCTGGAGCTCAAATCTCATATCCCTTCTAATTTCCAGGATGCGCCTCCCAGCACCTCCAGCAGAAAGAGTCTGATGTCTGTCCAGTCTGGACATTTTCTCACCTTCTCCATCTCAAAACAGACACAGACCAGGCCACTGTCAAAAACTGCTGTCTGAAAAAAACAACAACAACTGTTGTCTGCATTTGGCCAATATATTTCAGTGTTTGGGTTTATCTGAAAGTAATGTGGAAAATGGAACTGGCCAACATACCAGCTTTCAGATTAACCCATGTTTCTTACAAAAAAAAAAAAAAAAGGTCTTTTGTTAATATGGAAAACCCCATGAGATCATGGAAAAAGTTCATAAAGTTGCAGCATTTCTAAATGAATAATAAATTCACTAGACCTCAGAATACTTAACAGCTTCCCTTCTTCAAGAGTAAATTCCTACCAGTAATATTATGAAATCTATATTTTCTACTACTATCCACATATTCACATGCCTCATTGTGCTACAAGTACTACTTGCAAGACTTCTATGGTTGCTAATATCAAGACAATTGGAAAAACATTAAGATATCTAAATTATAAGCTTTTAAAAATCAGCACTGTCTAAATTATAGGCTTAATCTAAATAGTATTTTATATACTCTTATGTATATGATATATACATGTATATACATACCTGTGTGACAAGGGTTTTTGCATAATGAAGAGTGGATCTGCAAACAGCCTCTGGTATTGAATAAAATGCATATTCCTGCTAATGATAAAGGTTGGTGAAATGATCAGTTCTTTTCTTATTAAATATGAATATTGGCTGAATTTGAATATAAATTAAAAACCTTACCTTTCAATCCACTGCAATCCTTGTGTTAGCTGTCACGTCGATATCTTAAGCAGAATGTTTCGCTCTTTTTGAAATAAATTTCTGTGATAGTTGAAGATTTATAGCTTTGTTTTGTGCAGCATTATTTTTATATTTTTAATAAAAATTCCCCAAAATAATGCACACAAAAAAGAGACGCTACTGAATGTAACTGCCAGTGAAATATATCTTTAATTTGCATTTTTAAAAGTAAAAAATCAGTTTTGATTTAAGGAAAAAATAAAGAAAAGAGAAAGACAGATGAGGGCCGTGATCTTCAGTATTCATCAGTGGGGCTTATTGAGATTGAGTAGAAAAACTAAGGGACAGAAGTCATGAATCCTTAAAATTCATTCCTTTCTCTTAACAGGAAAAAAATCCTTCATAAAATGTCCATTTAAAGAGCAAATAATGGGTAAACATTAGAAATATGAAAAAAAAAAGTTTACTCTGCCTCCTCTCACACCCTACATGTTTTTTTAAAACATTATTCTGTTTTTGAGCTTTTGACAAATGAAATTCTTTCTCAAATTATATACTATTCTATCTGCAAATTGTCACTCTATATATAATCATGATGGCCATGTATCAATGAGTTTAAAACCATTTGCTAATTAAACATTTCCTGGTAATTAAGGCTACATAACGTAAGGTTTATATATACAAAGTTTAGTGACTATACATGACACACAAGACAAACTTCTCATGAAAATGGGTATTTGCACACTCTTATATCATGTACACAGTTGTTGATTTCATTAATATTTCCTCTTGAATACCTAACATTGAACTAATTTTTTCTTAATAAAACACATTTTAACAAACTTTATATAATGCTTTGGAAGAATCATAATCACAGACATAAATTATAAAAAGTAAGAATAGCTGTTTGTCCACCTGAAATAAGTACTGAATTAACACTTTTTGGTACCTAATATGCTTTGAACTTGTTAGTCTCAATTTTCTTTAAAAAACAACAACAACAACATATAACTGAGTAAGATGCAGCTTTCAAATTCAAAGTGACTTCCTATGTAAATGTCTATTTTTAAAATGAGATGTAATACTTCATTTCTATAAATATCTAAAGTATAAAATCTTATATACACGTAATTAGCAAATATGAGGTTCCTCAGGATACCTGACTTCATATGTATATTTTTTGTATGCTTATCCACAGCAAAAAAATAAATAAGTAAATAAATAAACTGTTGGGGTTTTTAACTTAGCTATGAAAGTCCTATTTTGGAAGAATTCAAAAGCTGAAGACCATTCAAAATGGAGTAAGATGTTAAATTGTAATAACTTCTTTTAAGTTAAAGAAATATAGACATTGCTATGGAGGTGTTAGGTTCTAGATACCTGTGATAAAATCAAAGAGAAGGAATTCCACAGATGTGCTTGGCATATTATATGAGAACGAGTACTGCTCACATACCAAAGCAACAAGAATACTTCCAAGTCACCCAATCTCACTTTCTCATCCAGAAACACAAGTTAGGGCTATGACATCACTGAACAGTCACCTACATTACTGATTTGTTCCTGAGTCCTCTTCAGCCGCTGTAGTTCTGGTGTGTCGGTTACGATGCTGAAGCCCCGCCCTTTGCTTTCTTCAAAATCTCTTTTGTACTTGACCTGATTTGGGAAAAAAAAAGTAAAGAGAGGAATCACAGATCCCCCTTGGGATAGGCCAGCGCCAAAAGGCTGCTGAAATTGGAAGCAACGCCTCCGGACACAGCTCTCTCAGCAAGCGGCGCAGGGAGAGGCAGGGGCCTGGCCAGACTGGCTGCTTACAGCCCAGCCACTCTACTGACTGGTGATCTTGGGCAAGTTCCTTAGCCACTCTGCGCCTCAGAGGTCTCATCCATAAAATGACAACAACAACAACATTTAAATAACACTATTTAATAGGTCCCAAGGATAGGATCAAATCTAATACAGTAGTCTTACCTAGCCAATAGCAAGCAAGCAAGTGTTCTGTAGTCATTATTATCACCATTAATAGTTGTACTACTGCTGAAGAAAAGGAAAAAAGAAAAACATGGAAAAGAAAGCTTAATCTTCTGCTCCTGGGCCCGTCTTGTCAGTGACAAAGCACCATTCTGAGCCTGGATTGCACTATGGATGAGAAAGACGTACAAAATCAGCAGCAGCTCGCCCTGTCCTTAGGACGTTTTCACTCTATTTCATAAGGCAACGCATGTGGATGTGACTGCACACTGCTGTATTGCTAAATGTCAAGTATGTAAATGCTTATGGAAGTATTTATACCATAGGCCACACCTAGAGATTAAAAGGCTTGAAGCACAGGCCCTTAGCATACTGTGTGCTGAGGTACCTAAGATTTTTTTTTTCATTGTTAAAATACACTTTGTTTCTAATTATAACCCAGTGAAGCTGAATTTTGCCGTTTCCTGGAGGGAATGGAATAACTAATGCTTAATCCTTCTAGAGCCCTATCTCCTATTATTAGCATAATGATGATAACTGTCATGCCAGTTAAATACTCTGTTTGTCAATGACTGAGATGGTTATATCACTCTGACTGTTCTTATTTCTTTAGAAGCCTTAATATTAAGAAATATTAAAACAGTTTTGATAACCCATTTTGCACTCATAATCATCAGTTTCAAATTAAAACGTATATTAATAGTTAACATTTAAGGTAGCTAATAAAAATATGATTCAGTAAGTGTAACTTTAAGTATAAATTTTAAAAGTTTCCTCAGTTCAGCATGAAATGACTGTTTTTGTTGAGTGTTGTCTGTATTTAAATATTCCATTCTCTCAGGCATTATTGTTCTTGAAACCACTGGAAGATTTCCTTTTACCAGAAAAGCTTGATAGAAAAAAAAAAATCCCAGATGACATCAAATAGATATATACAGTCTCATTACTTTAAGCTTTAAAATATCTAATTTTCTCTGCATATTTTTATTTAAATTTATAAAAGTACTAAAACCCTTACTTTAGTTCCCTAAATAAAAGGCCTTTATCACCCTTTTTTTCTTCCACAGAAAATGTTCAATGTTCCTACCAGATTTGGCTCAGTGGATAGAGCGTCAGCCTGCAGACTGAAGGGTCCCTGGCATGGTCAAGGGCACATGCCAGGTTGTGGGCTCCATCCCCAGTAAGAGGCAGCCAATCAATGCTTCTCTCTCATCATTGATGTTTCTATCTCTCTCTTCCTCTCTCTTCCTCTCTTAAAAATATGTGTTTTTTCAAAGAGAAAAAGAAAGAAAATGCTAAATGAAATTATCATTCTAACCCTCAATCTCTTGGCATTGTGAAAATACACATACCAGTACATTCTTGGTATTTTATGCACAACTAAATAGGAAAGCCATTTAGCTTTGCTTGAAGATAGCACTAGGGCACAGAACAGTAAAATAATAAAAGAGGGAATGATCAGAAGGTTATGATAGCAACAGGCATGAAGAATTAAGAAGAAAAACTATAAGCCAAGTTCTAACATCATTAAGGCCAGTTTCAGAGAATGCACAATCACATATTTCTGTGATTAGTTTGAGTTGTTGTTGTTTTAATGGTAATTTTCAAAGAAAAACCATTAAATCCCAGAATCACAGTTTTTAAATAATTACCATCTAACAGCCCTTTCCACTTTGACAAGACACATAAGAATGATGATTTGGGCCTGCCTCAAGTATACTGAAGAGGATACAATCATTTTCTTAAATAGTTTTCAGAATTTTAGAAGATGTGTAATTCTTTTAAAGGTGAGATCCGCAACCAAACCTATATGTAGTCTCAGCACCAACTCAAGCACCAGCCCACCCAGTCAATCTTTACTGCCTTCGAGCCATTAGTCAGTGCCTCTCTTTTCTACACTCCCACCCACTGAAATCCTAGCTCTCTACTAGGTCTAGAACACATGGAACTTGGTGACAAGGTCTAAATCTTATTCATCACTGTGATCCCAGACCTAGCATAACACCTGGCCCATGGGAGTTAATTAACAAATGATTTAAAAAGAGGAAGTGAGGGAGAAGGGAAGAAAGAAGAGGGGTGGAAACAGAGAGGGAGAAAGTCTGGCCCAATTCTAGATGTAAGAGAGAAACCTCATATTCAGGGACTGAAAAATGGATCCATTTGGCTGCAGCATCTGGTGAAGGGGAAAGACCCAGGAAATTAGCTAAGAAACATAGATCTAGACCATATTTGGAAAGAAACTGCCAGCCATAGTTCCCATCTTAGCCCATTCAGGCAGCTATAATAAAAATGCCATAGACGGACGGCCTACAAACAACAGAAATTCCTCTCATAGTTCTGAAGCTGGGAAGTCCAAGACCAAGGCACTGACAGATTGGTATCTGGTGAAAGCCTGCTTCTGGGTTCAAAGACCACTGTAACTTCAACTGGTGGAAGGCGTGAGGGAGCTCTGTGGGGGTCTCCTTTAGAAGGGCACTAATCCCATTCCTGAGGTCTCCACCTTCATAACATAATTACCTCCCAAAGGCCCCCCACCTCCTAATACCATCACATTCGGGATTAGGTCTCATAAGAATTTATTCTCGTAAGAAATTTGGGAGAGGTGGGGCGGGGGGAGGGGAGGAGACAAACATTCAGTCCATAGCAAGTGCTTTTATATATAAGCATCCAACATTAACTCAAAGTATTCATTGAGCCTCTTATAAATTTCTCTTAGAAACTCCTCTTTCCTCAGTAAAAATGCCTTTTCTTCCCTTATGCTTCAGGATTGGATACAAAATTATCATTTCATCTCTTGCTTACTCTGCTGTTAAAAAGTACTTCATGATGATCCCACAAATAACAATGGCGGTATTCTCAGAATGCCATTCTCTGGAATCTCCTCCTCGAATGTTCATTTATTCAATCCTTTGAGCACCTACTATGTGCCAAGTACTATTCCAGGTGTGGGAACCATGCAGCAAAAAAAAAAAAAAAGGGTAAATGATCCCACACCTCTGGAAGCTTACATTATACTGGGAAATAGAAAAGACACAAGATCTATATAAGTTGAATAAATGGTATGTTAGTGGTGAGTCTAAGAGAAAATGAAGCTAGAAAGGAGGTGAGAAAGGTCAGAAATACTGCCTTTTTATTGAATTTATTGAATTGACAGCGGTTCATAACATTATACAGGTTTCAGGTAGGTGGTTCTACAACACATCATCTGTATTTCACATTGTGTGTTCAT